GAAACATATTGGACGTTATCGTAATGTTCATAAAAAAGAATCTGAAAAATTAGATTGAAATCAGATTGTTAATATAGAAGGGGACAAGTGGTTGAAATCCAGAATGTAGTCCGCGAGTTTTAAAAATTTTGTGCGATCAAGTTAAAGCTAGGCAACCTTTTGAGGTGATAAATTTAGAGACCAAAAGTAATTTTAATGTGACGTAAAGCTGATCTATTTTTTGATGTAACTTCACTTTCTTATTGATCCAAGCCATGAAAATGTGTTTTGTGAGTTTACCTAGAGATGATGGGATCGCATTACAACGAATTTCGCGTGCTGAACGCCTGCAGAGTAATAAATTGCATAAAACATGATAAAGATAGTAGCAATGCTATGCATTGGAAATATCATCAATCAAATCCTTTTTTTCTCGTGTGGTTCTCGTTTTTTTCACAATCTGATCAATATTTCATTTCATTCGATTTCAATTTTGATTTAATTTTTAATCTAGAATGACATGATCCCTCTTCATCGTATGTATCCAACTGTATACGATCTCAACGAAATCATCACAAAATTGCATGCTAATCAATCCAAGTGAAGAATGCTTTGAGGGTAAACTAGTCTGTGCTCTTTGAAATCTGTGAAAACATTCACTGAGATCTAATTTTTTCTGTATATCATTGGGAAATTATATCTACTGGCTGCAGCAATGTCTATGAAATGCATATATGATTGTAAATAGATCCTGTACAATTTGCATAGTACCTTTTCACGCTGTTCGTATGCTTGAACTTCTCATAAAGCTGAACATAACTTGTTTGCGGCAAGATATTATGGCTCATTAAGAAAAGAGGTGCAGAGAAGATCAACAAGGATGACGTTTAGAAAAATCCTTGCAAGTTATAATCTTTAAAGAATCGATTATTGCTCTTTAGTTTCAAATATATTAATGAGGGAAAAGCCAGCTACTCGAAGTTAATGAGTTTTGGTCATAGACGTTCACTTTCACGCTATAGAAAAACGTAAATTAAGTCTCTCACTCTGCCTGTTTAAAGTATTAAAGTCCTTTTGTCATGTGAAAAATCTTAGATATTACAGAGGCTAATAATAATGCTACATTTGTGAATAAGGGAGGAGATAACGAAGAAGGCAAGCGGGCGCCTAGTCTAACAATCGTCATCCAGACTTTGGTTTTTTGAGGTATTGGGTGGTCAGATAACGTGGTTTTTTAAGCGCATTCGCGATAGCGTCGCCATATGGTGGGCCCGATAGAGATTTTTGCAGATTTGAGCATTTCAAAGAATGACAC